TTTCAGGGGTCTTAGGGTATAATCCCAGCAGTGGAATTGCCAGGTCAAAAGACAGTTCCATTTTTAGTTTTCTGATGAAATTCCATACTGTTTTCCACAATGGCTACACCAGTTTGCATTCCCACTGTGTAGTAAGGTTCCCATTTACTCACATCCTCCCCAACATTTCCCATTTGTTGATCTGTTTATGCTGGCCATTCTCACAGGTGTGAAGAGGTATCTCACTGCAGGTTTAGTTTGCATCTCTCTGATGTCTAGTGATACTGAGCACCTTTTCATATGTCTCTGGGCCCTCTGTATGTCCCCCTTGAAGAAGTGTCTGTTCAAGTCTTTTGCCCATTTTTTAATTGGGTTTTTTGCCTTCCTGGAGTGGGCTCATGTGAGTTCTTTATATTGTGGAGATCAAACCCTTTTCCAAGGTATCATTGGCAAATATGTCTTCCCATACAGTCAGTTCTCTTTTCATTTTAATGCTGTTTTCTTTAGCCACACAGAAGGCTTTTATTTTGATGAGGTCCCATTTGTTTACTCTTTCCTTTATGTCCCTTGCTCTAGGGGACATATTGGTGAAAATACTGCTGCATGGAATATTTGAGATTTTCCTGCCTGTGTTTTCCTCTATAACTCATATGGTGTCATGACTTATATTTAAGCCTTTTACCCAACTTGAATTTATTTTTTGTGAGTGGTGTAAGTTGGTGCTTGAGTTTCATTTATTTGCATATAGCTGTCCAGATCTCCCAACACCATTTGTTGAAGAGGATATTTTTACTCCATTTTATGCTTCTGCCCCCCTTTGTCCAATATTAATTGACCATAGAGACTTGGGTTTATTTCTGGGTTCTCTGTTCTGTTCTGTTGATCTATGTGCCTGTTTTATGCCAGTACCAGGCTGTTCTGATTACAGTGGCTTTGTACTAAAGTTTGATATTAGGTATTGTGATCACTTCTACTTTGTTCTTCTTTCTTAAAATTGCTGCAGCTATTCAGGGTCATTTATGACTCCATATAAATTCCTGAAATGCTTGTTCTACATCTGCAAAATATGTCATTGGTACTTCAATAGAGATTGCATTGAATCTATAAATTGCTTTGGGAAGTTTGGACATTTTGATGACGTTAATTCTTCCAATCCATGAACATGGCACATGCTTCACTTTGTTTGTGTCTTCCTTAATTTCTTTCTTCAGTGTCCTGTAGTTTTCTGAGTACAGGTATTTTACCTCCTGAGTTAGGTTTATTCTGAGGTACTTTATTTTTCTTGCCGCTATATCAAATGGGATTTTTTTTCTGGTTTCTATCTCTGATGTTTCATTGTTGGTGTGCAAAAATGCCTTTGATTTCTGAATATTGACTTTGTATCCCACTGTTTTGCCAAATTCACCTATTAGGTCAAGCAGTTTTTTGGTGGTGTCTATAGGATTTTCTATGTACACAATCATGTCATCTGCAAACAATGACAGTTTTGTTTCCTCTTTTCCAATTTGGATGCCTTTTATGTCTTTTTTTTTTTTGTCTGATTGCTGTGGCTAGGACTTCCAGTACTATGTTGAATAGGAGTGGTGAAAGCAGACATCTTTGTCTTGTTCCTGATGTTAGTGGGAAAGCTTTTAGTTTTTGCCCATTGAGTCTGATGTTGGCTGTAGGTCTCTCATATATGGCCTTTATTATGTTGAGGAATGCTCCCTCTATTCCCACTTGGCTGAGTGTTTATATCATAAATGGGTTCTGTACCTTATCAAATCCTTTTTCTGCATCTATTGATATGATCATGTGATTTTTGTCTTTCCTTTTGTTTATGTGATGTATTACATTTATTGATATGCAAATATTGTATCATACTTGCATCCCTGGATCAATGATGAATTCTACTTGATCATTGTGTAAGATCTTTTTAATGTATTGCTGGATGTTGTTTTTCAATATTTTGTTAAGAGCTTTTAATGAGCATCTGTGTTCATCAGCAATGTTGGCCTGTAATTTTCTTTCTTTGTTGTGTCTTTATCTGGTTTTGAGATTAGGATGATGCTGGCTTCATAAAAAGAGTATGGGAGTCTTCCATCTTCGTGAATTTTTTAAAATAATCTGTGGAGAGTAGGGGTTAGCTCTGCCTCAAATGCTTTGTAAAATTTTCCTGTGAAACCATCTGGTCCAAGGCTTTTGTGGGTGTCAGGAGGTGTTTTTGTTTTTTTTTTTTGTTACTGCTTCAATTTTGTCTGCTGTTATTGGTTTGTTCAGGCTTTCTGCTTCTTCTTCCTTGACTTTTGGAAGATTATATTTTTCTAGAAATTTGTCCATTTCACCTAGGTTTTCAAATTTCTTGGCATTACTATAGTTCTTCATAGTAATTTCTTACAGTCCTTTGTATTTCTGTTGTATCAGTTGTAATCTCTCCTCTTTCATTTCTGACTGTCTTGATTTGGGTCCTCTCTCTTTTTTTCTTGATGTGTCTGCTTAAAGGCTTCTCAATTTTGTTTATCTTTTCAAAGAACCAGCTCCTGGATTTATTGATCCTTAGAATTGTGCTTTTAGTCTCTATGTTGTTTAATTCTGCTCTGATCTTGATTATTTCCTTCCTTCTGCTTGCTCTGGGCTGTCTTTGTTCTTGTTCCTCCAGTTCTTGTAGATGTAGGGATAGGATGTTTATTTGAAATGTTTCTAACTCTTTTAGGTAGGCCTGTATCACTATGAACTTCCCTCTCAGGACTACCTTCGCTGTGTCCCATAAGTTTTGGATTGTTGTGAGTTCATATTCATTTGTTACTAGGAATTTTTTATTTCTTCCTTGATCTCATTCTTGACCCATTCATTGTTTAATAGCATGCTTCAGTCTCCATGAATTTGAGTGTTTTTGAGTTTTTTCCTTGAGGTTGGTCAGTTTAGTCCCTTGTGATCAGAGGAAATGCTTCTATGATTTCAGTTTTCTTGAATTTATTGAGATTTGTTTTGTGTCCTATCATATGGTCTATCTTTAAAAATGTTCCATGTGCATTTGAAAAGAATGTGTATTTAGCTTCTTTAGGATGAAAGCATATATATATATATATGTATATATATGAATATATACACATATATATTTATATATATAAATGAACTTAACTGCATATATATATATATATATATATATATATATATATATATATATATAGCAGTTAAGTTCATTTGATCTAGGACATTGTTGGATGCTACAATATCTCTGTTGATATTTTGTTTGAAAGACCTATCCATTTTTGACAGTGAGGTGTTGAAATCCCCTACTCTAATTGTGTTGCTGTCAATATCTTTCTTGCAGTCCTCCAAGATTTTCTTTACATATTTGGGTGCTCCTATGTTGCGTGCATATATATTTACAATGTTTATGTCTTCTTGATGGATTGTTCCCTTGAGTATTATGAAGTGAACTTCTGGGTCTTTTTTATGGTCCTTTTTTTGAAGTCTACTTTGTCTGATATGAGTATTGGTACCCTGGCTTTTTTTCCCTGTCCATTTGCTTGGAATATTTGTTTCCAGCCCTTCACTTTCAGCCTGTGTAGGTCTTTTGTTCTGAGTTGGGTCTCTTGTAGGCAGCATATGTGTGGGTCATGCTTTCTTATCCATTCAGCTATTCTCTCTCTTTTGATTGGAGCATTTAATCTATTTATATTTCAGGTTATTATTGATAGGTACTTATTCATTGGCATTTTACTTCCTTCATACCTGTTTTCCTCCCTCTCTCACTCTTTTCTTTCCTTTTCTTAAAGCAGTCCACTTAGTCTCTTGCAGAGCTGGTGGAGGAGGTGTATTCTTTGAGACTTCTTTTATGAGGACAAATTTTCAGCAGCTGCCTATGGCCTCTAAGCTCTGCCGGAAGCTTCAAAAAAATGGGACTGTGTTTCAAAAATAAGTACAACAGTTGCCTGACAACCAGGCCCAGACTTATCTTGTCCTAGATGCAGTACCACAAGTGATCACTTGGATGGATAGACATACATTCAAAATCAAGATACTTTAGATGCTATGCTTTCCTCCAAAAAGAAAGTTGTACTATTTTAAGAGACAATTATTGTACTTAGTCACCTATAGCTTCTCACAGAGGGCTTTAAAATACTAATACTAAAGAAACTGCTAATACTAAAGAAACATTAAATAAGAAAAATTACCTAGGTAAAATATCCACCTAGATAACTAACATCTCACTATCTAACATTAAAAATATCTGTCCAGCACAGAGATTTATTTTCCTGGTTTTACATGGGGAAAGGTTGAATCTGGAACATACTTTTCTGTTTTTCCTGATTTTACTTGTAATTTATTGATACCTCAATTATGTTTTAAATACTATCCTAATGCAACTAGTATCTTGACAGATAGCACAACTATGATTCTATAGAAACAAGAACAAAATTATAATTACCAAAACCTCTATCTCATCTCCTTCTTAAATTCCTGGCATTCACATTGATCTAGACAATACCTAGAATTTTCTCTTCTGACCTAAGGAAGGCATAAAGAAAGGACTAAGAATAAAAAATGTCTCTCTCAAAGGAAATAAACTGCATATGTGCAGGAAAATGTATAGTGTTTCAATAAAACTAATGGCCCACACATATATAGGAAGCTATCAAGCTGGACTAGACTAGTGAAAGCCCTCACTCTTCAGCAAGCCTCCTTATACAGATCCCGTCCTGAAGTGCACACAATCAGTGACTAGCCCTGCTTTGTTCTAGTAAAAACTTTTTTTTCACTTAAGTCTAAACCACACTCCATCACTTCAAATTCTATATAACATTTTGAGAAGCTACATTTCTACTGGAGGGTTCTTCCACTTGCAAATAAGAATTCCATATAAATTCACAGGAGTTTTTCTGTTTGTTTTACATAATCAAGAAAGTTTTATTTCCTTTAATAATAATATATGTTAGGCAAGACTTACCTCATTAAGAAATTTCACTTACATTTTTGTAGAATCGAAGAACAGACCTAGAATAATTTAGAAACTAAAAAGAAAATATGGCCATTACCTCTTCCAATTAAAGTTTTACACTGTTTATCAAATGTCCGACATCTTCCTTCAAAACAGTGGGCTTCACCTGAATGACAACTTTGTCCATTGCGTGCAAAAGTGTCAGGCACACAGTGTGGGGCATACCCATTGCAATAGTCAGTAAAGTCACATTCTGAATCAATTGCTTTCCTGCAAAGTGTGCCACCTGGTTTTAACTAGAAGGGAAAAGAAACATAAGATTACATGTCAATGATACTCAAGTTTTCTTTCCCTTCAGGCTTTGAATTTCCATCCAATTTTTTCTAAGCTGCCAAGATCAATGAAGAAATTCTTCTTAACTACCTAAGCACTGCATTGACTTTACTGTGCAAAAATGAGTGGGTAATGCTTCCAAGAGATATAATAAACTCAAAGATAGTCAGACCTCCATAATTATGAAAAAGAAAGAAAGAAGGTAGAGCTAAGGAATTAATATAAAAATTACTTATAACCCATCATGGCTATGCTCAGATATACAGCCTTTGGTTTCTCCATATGCCATTCTTAAAGCAGATATCAGCAACCATTTATAAACCAAAAAAAAATGTATACCATAATCATTTAGAAAAAAGTTTGTAGGTTTTTATAAAAGAAAATTTAAGGAACAGGAAGTTCATTTCATATATCACATTGCAAACAACTGTAAATAAAGTAACTTCTCGAATTAAAGTAACTTCTTCAGTGCTTACTCTTTAGCTGATAGCTTCCAGAGTTCCCTTTCTGTATGCCTGCTTTGGTCAAGAAACATAGAGCTTTCCCTACAGAAAATCGTTTCTTCAGTTCAAACCCCAATTTCCCATGGCTATCATCATTATCCTATGCAAACTAAATCAAATTTGTTGAAGATCTCCAAGGTCCTAGAGGCCCAGTTTATATAAAACTCACACATATCTACTCCCCCAGAACAAGTTTTCTGTATACTCTTTCTCATGTTTTCAACATGTACTTGCTACCTGTACAAATTTCCAAGTGATGGATAAAAAGACAAAACACAACACATAATGGGTTGAACAATCAAATCAAAACCAGTGATCAGAATTGTGGGTAGAGGAAAAATATATATAAATACAATGAAAAAGTGTTAACACATGTTTCTTGAGAATATGTTTCCTTTTGTAAACCTGCATATGTGGCAATTTTAAAGTTATTTTAATTTAATTTGCTATTAAAACTTAATTTTTTACATCAGTTTATGTATCACAGAAAATATGAGGGGAAGGTATGAAGATTTCCCTTATAACCCCTGCCCCACACATGCAAAGCTTGTGCCATTATCACCCTCTCCAACTAGAGTGGTATATTTGTTACAAATGATGAACCCATATTGGTGCATTGTAGAGAGTAAGAATAACAGTTTTGCTTTACCCACATCACCTCTCCTGCAAGGTGCCACAGCAGAAGCCCAATGGAGACCCTCTTGGACTTGTGATTTCTCCAACAGGGATAGTGGAAGTAATACGAGAGGCTGGTTTCCCCAGCCTTTGAGACATTGTCCAAGAGGTACATTATTGTACTGCCCCACCCAGAACACTCAGGAAATTGGCACAGTTGGACACTCTGGGGACACCTAGGAATGGGGAAAAGAAATGGGGTCTCACAGCAACCAGTGCGTAGATTGCAATGGTCAACCACATATCCTGTTAATGTGCTCAGGATGCCACCAAGAGCCCTAGTCATGAACCAATAGGATCCCCTCGAGTGAGGATACCCACAAGTAGCCAACAAACACCCCCAGCACTCCACATACCCTAGAGCTGGCACCCACTCTCCCCAGCCAGTGGTACACGTAGGCCACCAACAGTATACACAATCCTGCACTCAACACATGGATATCAGCAGCTGGCTTGACTCTCCTGAATAAGGAAAAGTTAGACAACCTTGAACACTTCAGGGCACTGCCTTAGTGGAAGCAAATGGGAGCCTCTCTGCCTCTGGACTAGTTTGGGGGGATTGAGAGAAGGCATTCAATCCTAATTTCTCCACAATGATGGAATAAGGTAAATGGAGTAAACATACACATAGAAAAGATCTGAGAGACCTCCCAAAACCTTCTGGGCTGACTTGATGACTGGCTTCTTAATCATCTTAATCTTCTTAATCATTTTAAGCTCAGTGGGATATAAGAGGGAACAGATAAACAAATAAATAAAAATCAGGAAAACAATACATGAATAAAATGAGAAGTTTAATAGAGAAATGGTGTTTCTAAAGAACCAAACAGAAATTCTGTGTCTAAATAATAAAATTACTGACTAAACTGAAAAATTCCATATAAAAACCTTCAAAAGTACAGTTGATCAAGTAGAAGAAACAATGAACTTAGAAACAATCATTTGAAATTATCCATTCAGAGAACCAGAAAAATTAAAAAAGGAAAATCTACAGTACTTGTGAGATACCATCAAAAGAAACACTATACACATTATGGGAGTCCCAGAAGGAGCAAAGAAAGAAAAAGGAGCAGAAGCTTATTTAAAGAAATAATGGCAGAAAAATTTTCCAAATCTGGGAAAGGAAATGTACACAAAGCCAAAAGAACTCTAAATAGATTAAACATAGGGAGGTATTCAAAAGACACATTACAAATAAACTGTCAAAAGTCAACCACAAAGAGAACATTTTGAAAGCAATAAAAGTAATTATTGTATGAATGGGAACCCACATAAGAGTATAAGTAGATCACTCAGAAAATCTTTGCTGGTCAAGAGAGAGTGAGATGACATTTTCTAAGTGCCAAAAGGAAAATCACTTTCCAACTAGTAATACTATACCTAGTAAAGATGTCCTTCAGAAATGAAGAAAAGATAAGACTTTCACAGAAAAACAAAAGCTGAAGGAGCTCATTGCCACTAGACCTGCCTTTAAAAAATGCTAATGAGAGTTCTTCAAATCAAAGTAAAAAGATGCTGATTATCAATATGAAAGTATAAAAATCATTGGTGAGGAATGGTGCAGCCACTGTGGAAAACAGTATGAAGGTTCCTCAAAAAATTAAAAATGGAACTGTCTTTTGACTCAGTGATTCCACTTCTTGGTATATATCTGGAAAAAACCCAAAACACTATTTTAAAAATATGTATGCACCCCTATGTTCATTGCAACATTCTTTACAATAGCTAAGATTGGAACTAACCCAAGTGCCCATCAATAGATGAGTAGATAAAAAAGAAGAATTTTTATAAAAGAGTAAAACACCACCACCAGTGCCACCACTAATGGCAGAAAGCCACAACAACTGCAACAGTTTGCTCTGCATTGATTTCACTTGCCTGCTCACAAGCTGAAGCTTTCAGGGTAGAATGTCCATTTGAAGAGCTAACTCTGCAGGAGCATACCTTGGACCCAGAGATTGTGGCCGTAGAGGGCCACCATTTATTCATGTTCTTCAGCAACAACAGACAATGGCAATAATGCTATTACCATTACTAACTGGCACATTATAAAATACACCAATAACTTAAAAGTTTCTTGTTTTCTGGTGACCCAATTTTTTAAAAAAAAAGCTTCTTTAGACTACTTGTAATAAAAATAGCTAAGATTTACAAAAACAGTAAATAAATAAAATAAAAATAAAAATCATTGGTAATGTTAAGTATAGTGAAATTCAGAGTACTCCAACACTGTAATATGTTGGCATGGAAATCACCTTAACTCTAATGTGAAATTTATAAGACAAAAGTATTAAAAATAACTGTAGCTGCAACTACTTGTTCATGGATACAAAATATGAAAACATATTAAGATACAATATCAATAGTATAAAAAAGGGGGAGAAGTAAAGGTATAGAGTTTTTGTATGAGATCAAAGCTAAGTTATCAGCTTAAAACAGACTATTATAACCTTAAAGTGTTCAGTGTAATCTTTGTAGTAATCATAAAGAAAATACAGGTGGTTGATACACAAAGATAAAGATAAATGACTCAAAGCATATCACTATAAAAATATCAGCAAACAACAACATTAGACAATAAGAGAGAAAAATGAGATAGAAGAACTAAAAAAATGAACAATATGGCAAAAGCACACTTTCCTTGTCAATAATTACTTTAAAAGTAGGATCCAACCATATGCTATCTGCAAGAAACTCAAGTAAGCATTCAGGAAATGCAGAGACTAAAAATGAAGGGATAGAAGAATGAAGATATGGAAAAATGCAATTGGCAATCAGAAAGAGCAGGGAGGGCTACCTTTATGTCAGATAAAATAGACTTTAGTTCAAAAACTGTCACATGAGTAAAGAAGGTTATTACATAATGAAAGAGGTTAATTCATCAGGGGGATATAATAATTATAAATATATTATGCACTCAATATCAGAATAACTAATATACAAAGCAAATATAGTAATAATTGAAGAAATAGTCACCAAAAACTACAACAGTAATAAATAGAGATGATAAAAACAATAGAAAACACCATTGAAAGTAAGAGCTATTATTTTGAAAAGATAAAACCGACAAATCTTTAGCTGGGCTAGAAAAAGGAGAAACCAAATTAAGTTATAAATAAAGGAGGTGATGTTACAACAGATATCACAGAAATATAAAATGTCATTAGAGGCTACAATCATATTCAAACAAACTGCATAACCTAGAAGAGACACATCAATTCCTAGAAACAAACTAACAAGATTAAATCATAAAAAATAGAAAATCAGAATAAACCAGTAATGATTAAGGAGACTGAATGAGTTATCAAAAACCTGGCAACAAAGAAAAGCCCAAGATGAGATAAATCAGGTAATTAGATTATCAGGTAAATTCTAACAAACATTTAAAAAAAATGCCAATTCTTCTCAATTTCTTAAAAAAAAAACAGAAGAAAAAGAATCACTTAGAAATTCATTTTAGAAGGTCAGATTGACCCTGATACCAAAGTCAGACAGAACATTACAAGAAAATAAAACTATACACCAATGCAGTAGCTTGACCTGATGAACAAGCCTGATGAACATAGATAGGTACAAAAATTCTCAACAAAATACTAGCAAGTCAAATTCAACTGCACAGTAATAGGATCATACACCATGATAAAGGGGGATTTTATCCTTAGGATGCAAGGATGTTTGAACACACACAAATCAATAAATATCATATAGCACTTTAATAGACTGAAGGATAAAAATATGATCATCTTAATAGATGAAGAAAAAGCATTTGACAAAATTCAGCATAT